GCAGGCTGAATGCCCAGCGGAGCCTGACTCGGGGCTTGATACGCGGGAGGGTGGGGGGGTGGTGGAGAGGAGTTCAACATGGGGCTCTATCTAACACCATGGATCATGACCTGAGCTGAAAATCAAGAGTCGGATGCTTAACTGATGGACCCACCCAGGCACCCCTTAAGGGCAAACATTTGAGGGAAGTTAAAGATCTATGTAAATGGAGAGACATATGACATGCATGTGTTGAAAGAGTACATATTTTTAGCAATGTTAAAATATCAATTGCCCCCAAATTGATCAGTAGATTCAGTAAAATATCAGCCAAACTCCCAGCAGGAATATTTGTAGTAACTGATCACCTCATTTAAAAATTCATGTAGGGGCACCTGGATGGCTTAGTTGGTTGAGTGTCTGACTTCGGCTCAGGTCATGATCTCACAGTTCATGGGTTCAAGCTCCACTTCGAGCTAGCTAATGTCAGCACAGAGCCAGCTCTGTCCTCCTCTCTCTGCCCCTTCCCTGCTTGTGCTCAAAAAATGAAAAAAATTCATATAGAAATGCCAAGGACCTAGACTAGCTAAGAAAACTGAAAGTAAGAAGAAAGTTGGAGGATTAACACTACCGAATTTTAAGATTTATGAAGCTACAATTATCATGATAACATGGTATTGATGTCAAGCTAGATCAAAAGGATGGAGAATCCAAAAATAGATCACACATATATGGACAACTGAGTTTTGATAAAGACACAGATGAAATTCAGTGGAGAAAGGACCTTCTTTTCAACAATGGTGTTGGAACAAGTTAAAATACATGTGTAAAAAATGAACTTTGATCCAAACCTTACGCCATACACAAAAATCAACTGAAAATGGTAAAAAGTATAATTGTAGAATGCCACACTGTTAACCTTATTTAAAAAATACGAGAAAAGTTTTGTGACTTTGGGTTAGGCAAAGATTTCTTAGATACAACATCCACAGTGTAATTCATTAGTTAAAAAATTGATGAATTGAGCTTCATCAAACCTAAAAACTTCTGCTATTCAAAAGACTGTTAAGAGAATGAAAAGACCAGTTACAAACTGGGAGAAATATTTCCAAATTGTATCAGATAAAGAAGTTCTATCCAGAACATAAAAACGACTCTCTAAAGTAACAAATAAGAAAACAAACACCTCATTAAAGGTAGAAGAGAAGATTCAAACGGATCCTTCAGCAGAGAAGCTATAGAAATGTCAAATTAGCAGGGGCACCTCGGTGGCTCAGTCAGTTAAGTGTCCGACTTTGGCTCAGGTCATGATCTTGCGGTTTGCGGGCTCTGTGCTGATAGCTCAGAGCCTGGAGCCTGCTTCGGATTTTGTGTCTCCCCTTCCCTCTGCTCCGCTTATGCTCTGTCTCTCTCTGTCTCTCAGTAATAAATGAACGTTAAAAAAATTTTTTTTTAGAAATGTCAAATAAGTACATCTTTAGACCATAACAAGTGACCAGCAAGGATGTGGAGAAAATACAACTGCCCAGATGGCGGGAACATAAAATGTTACCACCACTTAGGAAAATAGTGGCAGTTTCTTAAAAAGCTAGAGAGAACCTGTCATATCATCCAGCCATTCCACTCCTAGGTATTTATTAATCTAGGAGAAATCAAAGTTTATGTCCATCCAAAGAGTTGTGCATGGATAATCATAGCAGCCCCATCTCTAGTAGCCAGAATTGAAAATGACCCAAATAGCTATCAATTGGCGAACAGAAAAACAAATTGTGGTATATCCATACAATGGAATCCCCCTCTGCAATAAAAAGGAATGAACTATTGATTAAAGCATCTATACGGATGAATCTCAAAGTTATTATGCTGAGGGAATGAAGACCTATAAAAAAGAATACGTATTATATTATTTCCTTATATAACATTTTAGAAAATACAACTAATCTATCATGATAGAAAGGAGGTCACTTGCTGCCTGGGGCTAGGGTGAGGAGGCAGAGAGGGGCAGGGGAGAGAGAAAGTACTTGAGGAAACTTTTGTGAATCTAAGTATGTTCATTATCTTGTTTGGGTTAATGGGTTCACTGGTAAATACATATGCCAAAACATGTCAAATTGTATACTTTAAACATATGTAGTTTATTTTTGTCAAGGATTTTTCAATAAAGGTGTTAAACTTTTCAGTAATATATTAATGCTATTTTCATTTATAACTTTCTTCTTAATTTTTTAAAATGTGTATTTATTTTTGAGACAGACAGAGAGGGGCAGGGTGGGGGGAGAGAACATGAGCAGGGGAGGAGCAGAGAAAGAGGGAGAGAGAATCCCAAGCAGGCTCCATGCTGCCAGTGCAGAGCCCTGATGCAGAGTAGAACTCATCCACCTAAGCTGCAATCAAGAGTAGGACACTTAACTGTCAGAGCCACCCAGCCGCCCCAAGAGGCTTTAAAAAAATTATTTTATTTGAGTATAGTTGACACAGTGTTACATTAATTTCAGGTTTACAACACAACGACTCAACTTCTCTATACATTATGTTGTGCTCCCAACAGAGTGTAGCTACCATTTGTCACCCTACAACACTATTAGAGTATCACTGACTGTAGTCCCCATACTGTCTGTGCCTTTAATTCTGGTGACTTTTTCATTCTCTCACTGGAAGCCTGTGTGTCCCACTCCCTTTCACCCATTTGCCCATCCTCCCTTCTTCCCCTCTGGCAACTCTCAGTTTGTTCTCTGTATTTACACATCTGATTCTGCTTTTTGTTTGTTTATTCATTTGTCCCCTCCCTATACCAGGAAGAGAAAGAATCCTTATCGTCCGAGACTGGAAATTGACGCTGAAATGGATCTGTACGAATTTACTGAAATAACCCTTGTCTTCCACTTGTTTTGCATCCCTTTGCCCCTACCCTACATTTCCTAGTTTCTTCCCCACAATTTACTACCCATAGCCCATACCCTTTTTTCTTAAAAATTCTTGACAAGTTGATTGTTTTTTTGTTTAAAAGGTATCGAAACTTCCTGCTCTGGTCACTTAAGATATTCACTCTCTCGTGAAGGCTCCCATGCATGTGTAAGAATTTAAAATGTGTATGCTTTTCTCCTATTAATTTGTCTTATGCCAGCGTAAGTGAGACCCAAGGGTGGTAGAGAAATTTTCCTCCCTTACAGAACTTATTATTGAACACCTACTGTTTTTACATCCATCACTTCATTTACTTTTCACAAAACAGAAGACATATCTTTTTATACCCATTTTACAGATGAATAAATTAAGCCCAAAGAAGTTAATGGAAAGTGGCAGAACTGGCCCTGAAATCCAGGTTTAACTGATTCCAAAATTATGGTACTTTCCATCAAACCACAATACAAGAATCACAGGTAAAGAGTTTGGGGAGGGGGCACGTGGGTGGCTCAGTCGGTTAAGTGTCCAACTTTGGTTCAGGTCATGATCTCACAGTTTGTGAGTTCAAGCCCCACATCCGGCTCTCTGCTGACAGCTCTGAGCCTGGAGCCTGCTTCAGATTCTGTGTCTCCCTCTGTCTCTGCTCCTCCCCTGCTCGTGCTCTGTCTCTCTCTGTCAAAAATAAATACACATTAAAAAAAAAAAAAAGAGTTCTGGGGGCAGAGAATAAAATCCCTAACTCTTTCTGAGGAAGTCACTGACGGCTTTGCTATTGAAGAAACCCTATTACTTGAGAGGTAGTCAAGGCTCTCAAGTATTTAGAATGTTAAAAGAGTGCATTATTGATGAACCAAAGGCAAATTATATACTATTCCTCAGGCAGAAGTAATGTTTTCTTCCTCATTGCTTCTGTAGTGCAATTTATAACTCATCTATTTCATATCTCAGTGAGTTACACTGAAGCTTGTAATTGACAATTACAGTGGACTAGAAGCTGCCATTTGTATTTTAATAATGCCTAATATTTTAAAGCACCTACGGAGATCTGTGTGAAATACTCTTAAAAAGATACTTTATTATTTACAACTCTGTGAGTTAGATACTATTAACTATCTCCATTTTAGAAGAAACAGACTGCAACATAAAAAATTATCTACAAGTGTAAAATAAAGAAAACCCTTAAGCCATATAAAATTAGCAACTATTTTTGTGTATAATTTCGTCTTGGAGCTACATTAAACATCAGTGATAGTTAAGAACAAACACTTGGCAGTTAGACACACTAAAATGCATGTGTAAATTATATTTCGAGCCACTTACAAATACGAATTGCACTGGTATTATTATCTTTTTATTATGTATAATAAAGTTGAGTAAGCTTTCAACTCATTTCTAGAATTTGATGTAAAGTAACAGCATTTCAAAAACACGGGTTAAAACAAATGTAGTTTGTTCAGTATGATGTTAGTTTTTTTACATGGCCTTACTTTGTGTTCTTGGAGATGAGGATACCTAAAGCCAATGTTATGTCTAAAAAGCTGTATTTAATACTCTTAGTATGCTACACATGATTACGTGTTCAATGAATGCTTACAGAATTCTTCATGATGCTGATTATAATCCTCTGCATCGCTAAGGGCAGACAGCTGTTTACTAGAGATATTAATGCAGGACGGAGCACATACGTGAAACAGTAAATAACACACGAAAATATGGTGACCTCTTGTATCCAGGTTCTCAACTTAACCATATATATTCATTTAAACAGTCCTTTTTTCTGCCTTCTGAATCTTGAACTAATTCTTAAACCAAACATGTACAAGTTTGGGAGGGTCTATCATGTCCCTACCTGGGCCTCAAAGATGAAAGCTACACAAGCTTCCTGCTCTTATTGGGCACACAGTCGACTTCATTAGCAGAAACCAGTTTGGGAAATAACCTGGAACGCTGGCGTAGGTCACGAACTCGCGCTCCAAATTTTTGTTCCAAATCGACAAAAGGTAGGCGCTGGGATACCGCCCCCTGAAGCCCCTGTCAGTCAACCTGTCTGTGGGCGGGGCACGCCCAAGAGCTTTTTTTTCGTGAGCATAACTGCGCATGCGCTCCGGGGAGGCGGGTGACCCTGAGAAGTTGCTGTCGCGCAGTGCGCGGCTTAAGACGTAGCGCGTGCGCAGGAGCTCAGCGCAGAGGCCTGCCGGAAGCTAAGATGGCGTGTGTGTGTTGTCCAGGCCGCAGTTGGCGCCTTATCGGTATCTAAGCCGTGTGTTTTGTGAGGGGCTGTGGCAAAGGCCCGTTCTCCCGCCATGGCCCGGCATCGGAATGTTCGAGGCTATAATTACGATGAAGGTATGTGGCAGGGTCTTGCCGGGACGTCATTGTCGCCGTTCCAGCTGGGATTCCAGCCCGTTGGCATACACTTTGATCTGTGAGTTTCTCGTTAGTGGTGCCAGGGTGGAATTCACAGCAGCCTCAGTTGGAGAAAATAACAGTTCATCTGAATGCCAGCGAGTGGCGTTGTTTTATGTCGTGATTTCTACCCTCTGGGATTGGTTTTATTTTAGGGCAGGAGAGGTGCTGCACGTCGTCCTATGGGGAGGACATTTGCGGAGGTTGGGATTCGGTGATATTTGTGCACGTCACCTCTCCCTCCCATTGTTTCCTCCCAGGTCGGGTACACAGTTGCCTCCTTCTAGGTGTTCTCTTCCGACCCCACTTTAAAAAATGCCCACGAAATGATGCTCGCTTGTAAAAGACGGATTGATTTCATGCTTACCTTCAATTGTTAGGCTGTAACTATTAGATACACATGGTGAATCTTCTGTGTTTGTTCATGCATACATTTTGTGTAGAACCTGGCTTGAGCTAACTGAACTTAGGTTGTATGAGTTTCAAGTTAAATTGGAAACTTAGGAGACGATAAAAAAGATATTAAAACGGCCTAATTAATAAGTGGATCAGATGATCTTGAGGTGTATACTCCGTTCTTGGTTGATAATGCTCAATATAAATGTTTTTTGGAATGGGAAAAAAAGCAACACTAGAAGCAAGGGAGCTCCAGAAAGTACTTACTGATTTTTAAAAATGAAATAAAAAATGTGCATGTGAATGTTCTCTAGGAGTTTAAAAGGAGTTAGAATTAGTTTAGGATAAGTGCATCATTTCCTTGTAGTAGGATGTAGGCATCACCAAGCATCATACAAACTAAAATTATAAACAAATATGAAGGACTGCAAAAAAGGAGTTAAGACCTGTTGCTTTTTAAAGTGCTAATAGTCTAAGTGTGCTTAATATGTTAGTGGTTGTTATTGGCACTGTCAACAGATTATTCTAGAACATCAGTATGCCCTAACCATAGTGAAGGGTAGCTAACACCCTGTACTGCATTTGGAGATTCGCCTCGCCAGCCTGGCACATGTTAGGTTCCTGGTGTTCACTTCAGATTGGAGGTCGTTTTAAGTGTATGCAGTGGATTTATTGCACGTGGATCGCTGCTACCTGAGGGATGACTTTAGGCCCGAGAGATAGTTTTGCAGTTATGACAGGAAAAGTATGGATAGGCCTAATTGCAATGTACTCATTTCTTCAATAAGTATGCATAATCTCTTCAACCAACATTAATTGAGTGCCTATTCTTCATTAATTGGGTGCTTGGAGTACTGCTCCAAGCTTTGGGGAAAAATAGTAAGATGTTTGAGGGACTGTAGAGGGGGAAATACACAAGGAACCGATGATTCGAGCATGACATGCTACAAAAAGTACTCCCAAGATGCTGTGGGAGCTACTACTTAAGTGAGAACACCTTATTCCCGAGTGGGTTGGAGGAATTTAAAGCAGGGTTTCTGTGTGAAGGAAGGCTTCCTGGATGAGAGGTGCAGGTCCTGTGGGAGTGAGTGCTAAATATCTTTTCACCTGGGCAATCCCAGGTCAGGTTGGTTTTTTTGGTCTTGTTTCTTTGGAACAATTGATGATGTCATAAACAAGCTGTTCCTGTAGCATGGGAGGTTCCTCCCTATTTCCTGCTTATAAAAGTTCTACTCATTTTAAGGGTCCAGTTTATTCTTCTTTTTTTTTTTTCCTAATGTTTCCTTTGTATTATTTTCAAATAATAATTTGAAAATTCTCAAAAGTAATATAACTTTATTAGAGTATGTGCTTTAAAACCTATTGGTTCCTCAGTTTAACTCTCACTTTGTTCTTCTCTGTTGTTTGGATAGTACCTTACATGACTGCCTTTAGCTAATGCTCAATTAGCTACTAATTTTTAATTTTTTTTAACGTTTATTCATTTTTTGAGAGACAGAGAGAGACAGAGCATGAGCGGGGGAAGGGCAGAGAAAGAGAGGGAGACACAGAATCCGAAGCAGGCTCCAGGCTCTGAGCTATCAGCACAGAGCCCGGTGCCAGGCCCGAACCCACGACCTGTGAGATCATGACCTGAGCCGAAGTCAGACACTCAACTGACTGAGCCACCCAGGCACCCCTCAGTTAGCTACTAATTTAAAAGTGCCAGGAGGGCATAGTCTATTCTTTATTATTCTGTTTACTCTGTTGTTACATTTACTCCAGTAGCTGGTAAAATGCTTTATGTGCAGTAAATATTACAAAATTTTGTCAAGGAAAAGAACCACTTTACAAAAATCCTAGGACAGAATTCTCTTCATCTTTATTTATTTATTGGGAAACAGAGTGCTGGCGGGGGAAGGGGGGAGGGAGGGGGAGAAAGAGAGAGAGAGAGAGAGAGAGAGAGAAAGGGAGAGAGAGAAAGGGAGAGAATGAATGAATCCTAAGCAGGTTCCACCCCCATCTCACAACTGTGAGATCTCTTGACCTGAAGTGAAATCAAAAATCAAGAGTCGCAGGCTCAACCGACTGAGCCACCCAGGTGCCTCTCTCTTCATCCTTTTATATTGTGGCACTGTTGGGGCGCCTGGGTGGCTTGGTCGGTTGAGCATCCGACTTTGGCTCAGGTTATGATTTTGAAGTCCATGGGTTCGAGCCCTCACCCCATGTCGGGCTCTGTGCTGACAGCTCAGAGCCTGGAGCCTGCTTCAGATTCTGTCTCTCTCTCTCTCTGCCCCTCCCCCACTCATTCTCTCTCTCTCTCTCTCTCTCTCTCTCTCTCTCTCTGTCAAAAATAAATAAACTTTATATTGTGGCACTGTTAGGGTCACTTTCAGTTGGAAAACTAACCTGGTAAAAAAGATTCTTGCCTTTAATGTCTAATTTTTTTTTTTTTTTTTTTGTAAATGACTCATTTATAAGTTGCTACCTTAGGATTGTGATCTAATAATTTATTCACTGTTACATATTTTTATCCAATAGTTGTATTTGTCTAATTTTTCTTTGCCATAAACATTTGGTTTCAGCATTTGAACATGCTGTTCCTGATACATAAATACCCTGAGAAACTAGGTACCTATCCTTTGGAGTTAGTTTCAATACTACTTTCCTGGGGATCTTTCTCTAGCCACCGCACTTCCAGTTCTGTTTTTGTTGTTCACGTGTGTGTTCCCAAATCAGTCTATATTTCTCATGTCTCAGACACTTGTCATATAATTTTTTAATTGCCTGTTTTTTGTGTTTGGTTCCTGTTAGAGTTTAGGTTCCTATAGATCTGGGAATGTTCCTGTCACTCACTGTTGCCCCTCAGATATCTTTATTAGTCCTTGGCATAGTCTATCATGTGAATAAATACCTTTATGTAAATATATTTATGTTTCTTGGAGGTTTTAGTTTTAAATTGTTTGATTCATTACTTTATAATAAAACAAGAATTGATTTAGTTCCAAACATGTGCTAGGTAGTTGGCTAAGACAAAGCCTTGCCCAGAAGGAGCTTATAGTCTCATGGAATGACATAGATGTATAGTGCTTTGAAGACAGACAGTTGGAGGAGTGTGCTAGAGAGTAAAAGTGCTAGGGGTAGATGTATGAAACAGGTGACATTTGAGCTGGAACCTTAACTAGGAAAAAGAAGCAGCTTTAGGAAATCTGGGCAAAGTGCATATTCTGGTCACTAGGAAAAGAAGTCCAATTAGCGTGAACAAAGCACAAGGGAGTTTAGGATAAGATGGTTTTTATAGAAATTAGCTTGACGTGAAGAAAATCTGTTCTCATGGTCTGATTGTATACCCTGTGCTAGTCAATTGTATGGGAAATAAATGCTTAGGTCATAGACAGCACTTGGTGAAAAAAAAAAAAAATGAATGGATGGCTTATTTCAGGTTTTAACACCAGAGAGACAATTCAAATTTGTGGCCTGTGGTGTTATCGTTTTTTGATTGCATAAAGTGAAAACTTGGAAAAATTTTAATGAAACCCAGTTAGCTTAAAAAAATGAAGAACTGTGTATATCTTTAAAAAAAATTTTTTTTTAATGTTTATTTCTGAGACACAGAGAGACAGAGCATGAGTAGGGGAGGGGCAGAGAGAGAGGGAGACAGAGAATCTGAAGCAGGCTCCAGGCTCTGAGCTGTCAGCACAGAGCCCGACGCGGGGCTCGAACTCACAAACCATGAGATCATGACCTGAGCTGAAGTTGGTCGCTCAACCAACTGAGCCACCCAGGCGCCCCAGAACTGTGTATGTCTTTATGCATAAAGTCAGTAAGTGCCTACTTTGTGGATAAAATTTTTAGAATTTTTTGGAAAAGCAGACATTCCAAGTTCCTGTAATTTTGAGGGATGGTTTAGTTTGGAGAAAGTTCTGATGCTTCCTTGTTAATAACTAAGAATACAAAAAGAACTTGTAAATAAATTTATCTTTTGTGTTTTTATTATAGATTTTGAAGATGATGATCTCTATGGCCAGTCTGTAGAGGATGATTATTGTATTTCGCCATCAACAGGTATTTGATTTCCATTATTTGGGGGTTTAAAAATGTTAAGTAAGTATCATTGTCATTCTAGGACTAGAGTGTTCCATAAGGCTATGATATTATGTAATGTTTAAAAGATAATTGTATGTTAACTTTTAAAGGTGTATAAAATCATTTCTTTACCTAAGAAAAGAATTTAAAGTATTGATTTCATCATTTAGCTTTCAACAACAATTTGAAGAAAACTTTGAAAAGTATGTTTTTTCCAAAATTCTTTGTAACATGCAGTTAATCTAAATTTTACTGAAATGGTAATTTAGTCAATAATGAAAACCTAAAACTTTTGAAAGCAGATAGCAATTAACTTTATATACTCAGGGATCTCTTGAATATTAGAAACATTGAGGTGTTACATATAGACTACGTTTCATATAGTACTTCAGTATACTGTTATATAGTTTGTTAAGTAAACCAAATATATGTAGTTCAGACTTCTGATGGAGCCGAAGAGTCATGTAGAGTTCATTTTTCGGTAGGACTGGGCATCAGTTTGTATCTCCTGCCTACCTGCTGAAAGAGTTCTTTGTCACTGTATAAAGAAAACATGAAACATTCATATATTCTTTTCAGCAAATACATAATGTTCGACCAGACCTTTTCTCATAATTTCCCTAATAATATATTTGTCTTCAAATTTCATTCTGTTCTATAAACAGTTAGTTAAAATGCCCTGCTAAATTTTACTGTGCTGTGAAAGGGTAAAATTAAATACAGTTAGGTACAACATAAGTATAATTCACAGCACTCATTCTCTACAAGTTTAAGGGCTCTATATTAAGAGCTTAATATAATTAACATTCTATCAAAATCCACTTTGTCTTTAATCCCATTTAGTCTCTGAAGCTGCCCTGTAGACCTGTACCTGCTTTAATCTCACTTTCAGTCTCTGATGACCAAATATGTCCCTTCTGACTTTTTAGAATCCCTCTTCCCTATAAAGCAGAGATACTGCACAACTTGTCTTAGCACCTCTCCTTATTGCTCTGAAATGCATCTAGCTCTTGATTTCTGCTTTCCTCATTTAGCCTTACTACTATCAGGGCCTTTCCAATCTTCCTCTAGTGTTACACACTTACCATTCAGGATCCTGTTAGGAGATAGAAATTGTACCAGTCATTTTGCCAGAGAGTATTTATTTGTTTATTTTTGAGAGAGAGAGAGAGCACAGGCAAGGGAAGGGGAGAGAGAGAGAGGGAGACACAGAATGCAAAGCAGGCTCCAGGCTCTGAGCTGTCAGCACAGAGCCCGACGCGGGGCTGGAACCCATGGACTTCGAGATCATGACCTGAGCTGAAGGCAGACACTTAACTGACTGAGCCACCCAGGCACCCCTGCCAGAGAGAATTTAATACAAAAAAATTGTTAGCTAGGTTTTAGAGAACAAAAAAATGCAAAAAGGGCGAGCAAAGTGTCAGGGAGGTGGTAACTTCAGGAAACATTTACAGTTCTGAGTTCCTGGAGGAGCACGTGGGCGAGGTCAGACCCGACCTTTTAGAAGCTCCTGGAGGTGCTTCTAGCTGGAACTTAGGCCTGTGACAGGACGGTGCTGCTTTGCTTCTGAAGTTCAGAGGAGGGGCTGTGGAACGGAGACTCAGACCTCTGAGGAGGGGGACAGTGCATGGCTGGTACCGGTGCCTGCAAAAGGACCTTGTGAACCTGGGATTCAGCCTTTTCAACAGGGAGTTCTAGTCAGCAGGCTGGTCAGGGTGTCTGAGGGATGTGGGCAGGGGCACACTGAAGCTGGTTCTGGGAGTTTTGGGAAAACTGCTAACTGGTACTAACTGCTGTTACTGCAGCGTGCAGTGTTGCTGGGCAGATGGGGGATGGACAAGAAGCAGAAAGGAAAGGAGCACGTGTCTTCCTCTTCTGACCTTCCAGTCTCCCTCTAGCATCTCCCCATTGGCTGATCCTAAAAGGGAGCCAGCTGTCAAAGAAATGAACTTCCTAGAGACTGCAACCCCAGCATCACAAAGCAGAGTAAAGCAGACTGGGTTACAAGCTCAGAGATGGCTTAATCATCATGCCTTTAGAGCTCCTTTGCTGGGATTCAAGACCACATTTTGTAGGGATGAAGGATAAAAGAAATTTCATTTTTTTCAAGGTACCTCTGAGACACTTGCCACTTGCAGTGTTAAAAAAACTTCATGGGTTAACCCTTTGGGGTTCCTACGATATACTGTCACAGTTGACTAGGTGATAAAGTGATATCTGGTAGCATTAACTTTATCACTCATATTTTAAGTGCAGTGGAGAGCATGGCATGTTCATGAAACTGAGAAGATGATGTGAGTGTGATAATTAGATTGGAGTATTTTATTTTATTTGAGAGAGAGAGAGAGAGAGAGCAAGAGCGAGAATGCACACCTGAGCAGGGGAGAGGGGCAGAGGAAGAGAGAGAGAGAGAGAGAGAGAGAGAGAATCTTAAGCAGGGGCTTGGTCCTGGGACCCTAAGATCGTGATCTAAGCTGAAATCAAGAGTCAGACACTCAACCAACTGAACCACCCAGGTGCCCCTAGATGGGAGTTTTTTAAAAAAGCTCTTACATAGTAGAGACTGGATTGAAGGTAGTACATTAGGGGATGTACATAGATTAGTTTGGAGATGGGTTTATTAATCTAGAGGAGATGAGGATATTTGAGGACAGTGTTCTCAAAGTGTGGTCCAGGTACCATCAGCATCACTGGGGAATTTATTAGAAAAGTAATTCTTGGCCCTGTTCAGAGGGGGGCACAGCTGCTCTTTTATTTAATAAGCTCTCCATAGTCTGTTGATGTTTGCTTTGAGAATCAAAGTTTAGGACAAGGGTGGTAGCATTCGATTTGGAGATAGATTCAAGAGATACCTTACAGGAATTAAGGGCTACAGGATCTGGAAGTTGGTTGAATCTGGCTTGCACAGTGTGGAAACCTTTATAGAGAGAGGGACTGCTGAAAGACATCTTAATCTTGCAGGTTAACACATTCATTTATCTAGGCTTATCTGGATAACGTATTCTTGATCTCGTGTAAGGAACTGATGGCATACCACGTCAAGCATTCAGAGGGTGTTTTTTTTGTGTGTGTTCATGGCCTCGCTTTCTTGAGGTCAGAGTTTATCCCTTTGTCTCTCATAGGTCTTGACGGTGTGTCTTGTGTGTGGTTCATTTTCAGGATAGTTTTACTCCTTGAGTTACTTCTGTACTATACACCAAGAAGTCAGTGACTATTGAAGTGGGAGGTACAGTGAAATGGTTTTGAGTTTTTTCTGTGACAAACTGTGTTTTTAACAAATGCATGTGGTTTGGGGTCTTTTAGTTTTTCAAAACATGTATGCAATAGTGATGTTAGATCAGAAACTTATTTTTCTTTTTTAGTGATATATTTTCCAAGTGATTTTCAATGAAAAATGAATAGTGTTAGAAGGATGCTCTGTTCTTAAAGAAGCAACCAGTGTCATTGAAGAGCTGATCATATTCATGGTCTTATGAATTCTGATAATTGAGTGATTTTTATCAATTAATAGGAATTTTTCTAAAATTCATCAGCACATGTACGTTTTTGAACTCTAGGTAGGCACCGTTGTCCTGATGGAAAGGGAATTTCTAAATGTTACAGCTTTTTTTCCTTTGGAAAGATTGACTTTGATATTGCGTGTTGAACATAGCCAAGGAATTGAGGATGGCGAAAAGAGCCTACATATACAACTTTATTTGAACAGTTGTGGGTTTTGTTTTGCCTACTGTAATTGGAAGTGTTAAAGGATAAACTGAGGCATATTGCAATTAGTAAGAATTTATTCGAACAAACACCAGTTTGAATCAGGCAGCTCCAAACTGGAAGTGGTTATGGTCCCCCCACCAGATTGGACTAAGGGGCAGGGATTTTATAGAGAAGATAGGAAACAAAGCAAGGAAATTATTTGATTGACTATAGCTTAAAGGTTGCATTATTTGAGAAAGCCTAGTTGGATTTTTGTGATTGGTGGTTCTTTTTAAAATTTTTTTTTAACGTTTATTTATTTTTGACAGACAGACAGACAGACAGACAGAGCAAGCGGGGGCAGGGCAGAGAGAGATGGAGACACAGAATCCGAAGCAGGCTCCGGGCTCTGAGCTGTCAGCACAGAGCCTGACTTGGGGTTTGAACCCACAGGTTGAGTCGTGATATCATGACCTGAACCTAAGTCTGAAGCTTAATCAACTGAGCCATTGAGGTACCCCTGATTGGTTGTTCTTCTTGATCCTCAGGCTTAGGAGTTGACTCTGGCTTAGTTTTCCATTTGTTAGCCAGGCACTGGAGCCACTCAGTCAAAAGGCCTCCAATGATTGCTTAAACAGTAGTATTCATTCCATTCCAACTCAGAATCTTTATTAAGCATCAATTAACGTGTAAGAAAAACCCAATTCTAATAAATTTATGAATTAATTTGGTATAAGGAAGTATGTTAAATGTCCTCTTCAAATGTGCCAAAGTGGTATGGTGGGTGGAACATTAGTCCTGCTTGAAGGGTGTGGGAAGGCTTCTGGAAGGACTGGGACATTTGGGAGGAAGAATGGCATCTTAGACAGAGGAAACAGTAGTGCTTGAGCAGTGGCCTCTATGTGAGGCTTATTTGAGAACACTCATTTGCAGCAGGAAAGAGGGCTGGGAACGGAAATAGGCAAATTCTGGAAGGCAGTTTTTAATTTTTGGTGTGTCGTGTCAGCTTATTGGAGGTTTTTGAATAAGGGGTAATATTTTTGGAAAGGAACTGATGACCATATACAAAGTGGACTACAGGGGGATTTGTAGGCCAGTTTTTCCTAACTTTCCCTGATATCAGTCATCTGGGAATAGTATAAAAATACAGATTCCCTGGGGGTGCCTGGGTGGCTCAGTTGGTTAAGCGTCAGACTTGGGCTCAGGTCATGATCATGCGATTCACAAGTTCAGGCCCTGCTTTGGCTCTGTGCTGACAGCTTGGAGCCTGGAGCCTGCTTCTGATTCTGTCTCTCTCTCTCTCTCTCTTTCTCTCTCTCTCTCTCTGCCCTTTGCCCACTCGTACTTCGTCTCTCCCTTTCTCAAAAATACATAACACATAAAAAAATACAGATTCCGGTCCCGTTTCCAGCATCACAGAATCAGAACCTCCAGAGGAGGAAGCTCAGGCAGTTGTATCATTAGTGAGTGCTTCTTACATGATATTCAATTTAAGGTGTTTAGGGAACAATTTGAGGCAGTTTAGGAGTCAGGTTTTGAATTCTTTGAAATTTCATATATGTTTAAATGCCTTAAGTTTTAAAAGTAATTATGGGTGTTCCAATTTTTCAGAAAGCATTTCCATCAAAGTTTGTGATTTAAATTTAGAAAAGAATAGTATTTTGTATTTATCCTTTTCTCTCCTCTTTCTTTCTCTTTTTATTGTATTTCTTGCCTTTTGGGTTCTCACTTCAACTTCAGAGATTTGGACTGTTTTTTCCCCACTAGTAGCTATTTTCCCTGGGGACTTTTTCTACCTTCTTTCCCGCCCCAATTCCCAGCAAATCCAGCCAACAGCATTTCTAAAACAGTAGCCACAGTGTAGGTTTCTGAGTTGGATTTGTGTGTAGATTGGGGATAAGAATCCATCCGCTTCCCCCCCCCCCCCAGAAAAAAAATAGTTCCTCTGAGGTTGAGTAGCAGCCTGGATATTGACAACTTCCTTTTCCCTGTCAATTATTTCCTGAGTGAAAATTGTTGAGGGAATTATCTGATTTTTTTCCTTACTTAAGTTTTGATTTTCCTTAGGGTTTTCCTCACAGTTGAAAGATAAGAGAAGAAGTTAGGGAAAGTATTTTTTTTTTTTTTTTTGTTACTTTTAGGCTAAACTGAGTAGTTTATTACAGCTAGGAAAATAATTTCTAAATTACCAGGCACAAAGCGGTCCAGTTTACATTTTTTAGTACCCCAGTTATTATTAACTAATTAATTAATTACTTTAATGTTTATTTTTGAGAGAGTCAGGGAGGGGCAGAGAGGAAGACAGAGGATCCCCAACAGTCTCCATGCTGTCAGTGCAGAGCCTGATGTGGGGCTTGAACTCATGGACTGTGAGATCATGACCTGAGCCAAAACCAAGAGTTGGATGCTTAACCAGCTGAGCCACTCAGGCATCCCACCCCATTTCATTATAATAGCAGTGCTCTATTCTCCTTGTACTAGAGGGAGATAAATAGGGGTATATATGCAACATAATATGTGTATTGTTAAATAAAAAGGTTTTTTTAATGTTTATTTTTGAGAGAGAGAGAGAGAGAGAGAGACACACAGAGCATAAGTAGGGGAGGGTTAGAGAGAGAGGGAGACACAGAATCTGAAACAGGCTCCAGGTTCTGAGCTGTCAGCACAGAGCCCAACATGGGGCTCGAATCCAGGAACCATGAGATCATGACCCGAGGCAAAGTCAGACACAACGAACTGAGCCACCCAGGCACGCCCATAATATGTGTATATTTTTTTTAATGTGTGTTTATTTTTGACACACAGACAGAGCATGAGTGGGGGAGGGGCATAGAGAGCAGGAGACACAGAATCTGAAGCAGGCTCCAGGCTCTGAGCTGTCAGCTCAGAGCCTGATGTGGGGCTCGAACTCACGGAGTGTGAGGTTGTGACCTGAGCGGAAGTCAGACGCTTAACCCACTGAGCCACCCAGGCGCCTCTAATATGTGTATTTTTTGAAAACCTTAGGGTCTTCAGAATTGTATACAAAAAATAGCAGAACTGGGAAAAAATAGGATCGTGACAGATCACTGAGCCTGTAAAGTACTGCAAAAACAGTAATGAAAATGCTTGTACATTTGAAAAGATACCTTAACTTCCTAATAAAGAAATATTCCAGTAACTATAAAACTTTAAATTTTTAAGAAAGGTAAAAGCTTGACAGAAATGTGAGAAATAATTAAACTAACAAGTCATGTTGCAAAGGCAAAATGCTCACAGATCTCGGAGAGTCAAGAAGTGGTAGGCATGCACAAAACAAGTCACAGGTCCTCCAAACTGAGCCTAGAGGAAGAATGTGGCGCGCTCTGGCTTTATGGTACGGTCACAGTTACGGTGTAAGCTGTGGCAGACGTTACTTTGTACCTGCTGCTTTTAGGTGATGATGCAAAACATCGAAGTGGGGGCAAAATCTCATAACCAAAGCAACTTGAATGTTTTACCCTCATCGTTCTCCTGTTTACCATTTGGTGTGAGTAGGTTGTGTTAAGGAAACACGCAGTATGGCAGAATAGCCGCACTCTCTCTCTTACTTGTTCTTTTTGTCCCAGGTGTCTTCCACCTGCTCCTCAGTTTTTCTGATGTTCTTACCTCATTTTGTATAATCGCGCCAGTCTTCGGTGACTGTGCCTCTGTAGCACTCATCTGTACTACTCATTTGGCTCTTAAAATGCATCGTTAGTTTTTTTCTTTGCTTTTACTACTAACCTCTAAGGCCATGCTTTATATAGTCTATGAATAGATAGCACTTATGCCACAGCCCTCTGAGTAGGGGTATTACACATAAGCCATAGCATTATCTAGTGTTTGTATGTGCATTATTTATATGCATTGGTTATAGACTTTATGGTTAGTTTCTCTTTCTTTCATAGGTCATGCCTTCCTGAAAACATGCACAAAGGTTCAATGTGGGAACACTAAGCAGTAGACTTAAGTGTTATGTGCTCTTCCAGAAAGCTAAATACTATAAAATCCCTAGGAACACTTTGCGTGTAGAATGCTGTATTTCTACCCTCTGTCTTTGTAACTTTCTATCTTTCTTAACTTATTCTTTAATTATATTTCTTCACAATTGAACACAAGCTGCAGGAATTGAGGTCAGTGGGCATCCAGCTGAGGTGGAAGAGTCAGCCCTGGGGGCGTTCATGATGATTTTTCTTTTTTGCTCACTTATATTTGGTTGTTGATACGCAGACATATATTGACACTCTCATACTTTGGCTTTCCTCCTTTTAATGAAATATACAATACCAGTTACACATTGAGGGATGACACTGAGTGCTATAGAATGGCACAGGCTGATATCTGAAAGTCAGAGTTAGGTATGTGATGCTATTATGCAGTGTAGACAATGCGTGATTGAAAGGAGGTTTTCAAAAATTAAGGTCTATGATTTTGATCAGCTGTTGGGTTCAGACAAAATTAGCAATTCTCAGAAAGTGAAAATTAAGTTTTTAGTATTTTCTTTTTTTTTTAATTTTTATTAAAAAAATTTTTTTAATGTTTATTTTTGAGAGAGAGAGAGTGGGGCGCCTAGGTGGCGCAGTCGGTTAAGCGTCCTACTTCAGCCAGGTCA